TTGGGTTGTTTTAGTGGGAGGTTGGTAGAAGGCACATCAGTACTTGCCTTATAGTACTGGTGGCTGCTGTAGTAATTGAAAGGCCTGTCACATTAACTTGAGATTGATGAATACTTTGTATCTGATCGGGGCTTGGGGAAGATTTTCCTAAAGATAGTTATTTTGCTACTGTCTTTTAAATTGTTGCTAAGGTGATTTGGGAAAGAATTGAGTCATTTGTCACCTATGTGTTCTGACATGTACTAGGATATTAACTGAATCTAAAATGTTGATATTGTCAAGAAGGTCCACTCCCTAGACATGCTTTGTAAAGTAGAGTGTTGGTGGAAAAGACCCCCAACAAAATGCATTGACACTGTGGCAATGACAATGGGCTCAAACATAACAATTGTGTGGATGGCGTAGGACCCAGCAGTGTTTGGTTCTGTTGTGCATCAGGTTGTTGTGAGTCAAAATTGACTCAGTGACATGTAACAACAGCAACAACAATAAAACATTGATCGCCCTAGACTAAATTTTGACAGAAAACTTTGCCATTTCAGATAGATCGCTGCTCTTCTCTCATACCATATGCATTATACAAAACCTAAAACAAATGGAATACGGTGGCAGAATCCTTTCTGTGTAACTATTCAAACGAGAGGAGCCGTTGTTGGAGTTTATTGCATCGCTGAGAGCCCTTGATAGCGTTGTGGTGTGGCACTCGAGGATAAACATTGGACTGCTAACTGCAGGGTTAGAGGTTCAAACCCACTGGCTGCTCCTTGGAAATCCTATGCAAGTCACTATGAGTTGGAACCGACTCAGCGGCACTTAACAACAACAGCAGTAGTCTTTACTTCCCTAAGCGAGTTTGGTTGGTTGGTTAAGATTTAAATGCATTTCTATCTAATTTACATGTCCAAAATGGAAAACATGAGATCATTTTCCTAGGATTGTAAGGAAAATAGGAAAATGAAAAGGAAAAAAATGAAATGTTTCCATGAATTTCTGAAGCCCCCTCATATTTCTTTGCTGTTCTCAGTCAAGCGATTATTTGCTTCATGTATTCTTATCACCACTGAGCCTGTTTCCCTGAAATCGTGTATGATTGAAACATTATTGAGGGAAGGAGAAGATTAGGGTGATAAATTGTCACTTGTCTTCTCCCGCTGTATTTTCCTGCAAACTTCCATTGATTTTAGAATTTCTACTTAAAACAATTATTAGCCAGTCAATTTGATTCTCTTTTTTTTAGTGTGATTTTTCTTGTTTGTTTGTTAGCGTCACCGAGTTTCTCCTGATTTATAGTGGTCCTACGCACAACAGAACAAAACACTGTCCGGTCCTGTGGCAGCCTCACTATTGTGTTTGAGCAGTTGACGCTGTTGCCACTGTCAGCCCATCTCACTGGGGTCCTCCTCTATATCACTGACCCTCCACTTCACCAAGCATGATGTCCTTCTCTAGGGACTGGTCCCTCCTGATAATATCCCCAAAGTATCAGACATGAAGTCTCACCATCCTGGCTTCTGAGGAGCATTCTGGCTGTACTTCTTCCAACGTAGGTTTGTTTGTTCATCTGGCAGTCTGTGGTACTTTTACTATTCTTCTCCAACACCGTAATTCAAATGCATCAATTTTTCATGGTTTTCCTTATTATTTTGCTGTGTAGTTCTGTGAATTTTAACACTCACGTAACAGCCATCACAGTCAGGCCACAGATTAGCTCCATCACCCCCAGGAAGCCCTCTTTATATGTGTGAGTATTCCCTGGTGTGGCACTGTGGGTTAATGCTCTGGACTGTAAGGTCAATTTGAACCACAAGGTTGGTGGTTCAAGCTCACCAGTCGCTCCTCAGAAACCCCATGCAGGGTCGCTATGGGTCAGAACTGACTTGGCAACACTTAACAACAAATACTCACACAGTCCCCTGGCATCCATTGATCTGTAGTTTTATCTGTATAAGAATGTCTTATGACTGGAATCATTTAAAAGACTGCCATTTTAAAAGTCAGCATCATGCCTTTGAGATTCCTCTAAGTTGCTACAGCTGTTAAGATGTATTCCTCTTTATTGTTGGTATTCTGTTGTATTCCGTTGTACAGGTGTGCCACAGTGTACCCATTTACTCATTGAAGTACCTGTGGTTTGTTTTCCAGGGTTTGGGTGAGTAGGAGTACCACAAAACAAAACCAAATCCATTACTGTTGTGTGCAAAATCACAAAAACCCAGTTTAGAACGTTTCTTTTGCCGTAGAATGTCCTCTCAGGCCTGTATGCAGGTCAGTCCCTGCTTTTACCCTCTGCTTTCAGCCTCTGTGAATTTGTAATTTCTGACCGTTTCATATAAATGTATGCAGATGTTTCAGTTCAGACATGTGTACACATGTACACACATGTACACACATGTACACACACACATAAGTACTTTTGTTCTTGTTTTCTTGTTTAAGCATGGTTTTCTAGGTATTGTTAGGTGTCTGCGCAGCTTAGTGGTAAGCCAGTGCTTGCCCAGTGCTCACAAGGTTTTTGTCCTCTGCCGCTTTCTGTGTGGGTGGGAGCACACTCCAAGTTCAGGCCATTTACCAGGCTTTCCTTTTGCACTCAGTGATCTTTTGGTGTCTCTGTGGTGCTAGTAGCCTCAAAGGTGACCATGAGGGTCTCCCAACTGCATGACAGTCACCTTAAGCCAGCAGAATTGTGGACCCTCCTTGCTGACTTGTTGTCTGAACCATCACCAACAGTGCCCACCCAGCTGGGCATTTGTGGTGCTCATCACTCCACACTGAGTGGGTCCCCTTTACCCTCCAAAGTTGGCTCTACCTGCTCTGCAAGCTTGTGTCTACTGAGTGGGAGGATGGGAGTAACCTTAGGCAAGACGCCACGTCTTCCTGTTGTCACATAACGTCCAGCAACTTCTCCATGCATAAGTGCCCCTCACGGTGGGGTTGTTTTTGTTGATGTTAAGTGTCATCAAGTGATTCTGACCCATAGCGACCCTGTATAGGGCTTCCAAGCAGCAGCTGGGGAGCTTGAACCACCGACCTTGCAGTTCAAACGACTCTGCAGTCTACGGCATTAACCCGCAGCGCCACAGTGGGACTCCAGGGTGGGGTTGTTAGGAACGCTGTAGTTCTCTGGTCAATGTTCAGACTACTGAGAAGGTAGGTTTTGCCCATTTAATTCAACTTTATCATTGGCTTTGCCTAGAGGGTTTATCTACTTTCTCACCAGGCCATACATCGCTGGAAGTGTATTCTTTATCTAGTTTACTTCGTCCTTTCCCTGTGGTATCCTTGCCCTCGCAGGAGTCTGGATGGATTTCCTTTTCTAGATGTGGTCTGATGGTCTTCTGCTTCCAGGTTGAACCCTTACTCTAGCTAACCTCGCAGTTCCACAGACTCTGGTCCTAGCCGGTCTGCATCTTAGACTGCTCTGTGTGCCCAGATCGTTTCTGTCTTTCTGAGGGTCCAGTCACAGACATATACACACATGATCTTCTGTGTATTGTATGTACCCCGTTACTCTGTGCCTGCCACGCCCCTTTTACCGTTGCAAACAAGTCAGTATAACTTAGGTCCCTCTCCCTCCATCTTTCAGTAAAGCTTGTACTGGATCTCTCTGGTAGACTAATGTTCCCATGGTCCCCTCGGCATATTCCTACTAAGGCGTGGATCATAGTCTGTGGTCCTTATGTGCCTCTCCATCTACTCGTAAGACTTTCCTTAGAGCAGGGACCACTGTTAGTCTTTTCAAAGTTGATCCTTAGCCAAGCACAAGTCTTTGGCCTGCAATGACCTAAGTCAGTCCTTTGTGTGCTAAATAAACGGAGTCTCGGTGAAAGATTGGGAAGTTGTCTATTCCTTATATCATTTCCCTCTAGAGTGGAATTTGGAGATCGTGGCATCTTTGGAATGAAGCAAGTCTGAGTAGCACAGACCGGTCGGTTTGGCATGAACTCTCCATATGCTTAGGCTTATTAAGTATTTGCTTGACTCATTGATAGAAATAGCTTTCTTTATTTTGCCGTTCTGTGCCAGGCCTATAGCTTCTGATTTGTTAGAGTAAGAAAAGCTGTTTCTGATTATAAACTGTGATTTATTTTTGCTAGCATTTGTGTATACAGTTGTCTCTCAGTTTCCACAGAGGACTGGTTCCAAGACCCCAGTAGACACCAAAATTCATGAATACTCAAGTCCCCGGTATAAAATGGCATAGTGTTTACATATCATCTGTGTACATCCTCCAGGATTTTTAAACCATCTCTGGATTACTTATATGGAGGCCTTGGTGTGGCACTGTAGGATAAGCATTGGACCTCAAGGTTGGTTTGAACCACATGGTCGGCAGTTCAAACTCAACAGCCGCTCCTCAGAAACCCTATACAGGGTTGCTATGAGTTGGAACCAACTTGATGACACTTAACCACAACAACAGAGTGCTTGTAATATCTAATACAATGTAAATAAGGGGTTCTGGTGACATAGTGGGTTATTAGTTGGGCTGCTGACCACTAGGCCAGCAGTTCGAATCTACCAGGCACTTAAGGGAGAAAGATGAGGCTTTTTCTGCCCATAAAGATGTACAGCTGTGGAAACCTTATACAGGATCTCTGAGATGGCACACAGCCATTACCACTACCATAATGTAAATGCTGTGTAATAACTGTTTACACTTCCTCTCAGCCTTTGAAGGATTGCTTTGGCCACTTCATTGCTCTCCTCCCTCCCTGTATATTTCATGTGCAGTTGGTTGAATCCCTGGGTGCTGGAACTTGCCCATATATACAGACAGATGACTTTATTTGTGTTTAAGACTCCTAAAGCATCCAAGACTGCTTCACTTTATAGCTTAAATGAAATGGTGATAACTGGAGGCTAATTTTTGAGCAATCAGCATGATGATAAATCGATTTTTCCTTGTCCTTCTAGATGTTGAGCATCATTCCAGAGTACAGTCTCCATGGCCTGAACGTTTCCTGAAAATATCTGTTTAATAACCAGAAAACCACATCAAGATGATTGGGAAACTGAAGCAGAACCTACTCTTGGCATGTCTGGTGATTAGTTCTGTGACTGTGTTCTACTTGGGCTAGCACGCCATGGAATGTCACCACCGAATCGAGGAACGCAGCCAGCCGGCTAGGTTGGAGAGCGCAGGGCCCACCGTGCGAACTGCCCTGGACATCAAAGCCAATAAAACCTTGGCCTACCACAAAGATATGCCTTTGATATTCATCGGAGGTGTGCCTCGAAGTGGAACGACCCTCATGAGAGCCATGCTGGATGCGCACCCTGACATTCGCTGCGGAGAGGAGACCAGAGTCATTCCCCGGATCCTGGCCCTGAAGCAGATGTGGTCGAGGTCGAGTAAGGAGAAGATCCGCTTGGACGAGGCCGGTGTCACTGACGAAGTGCTGGACTCTGCCATGCAGGCCTTCTTACTGGAGATCATTGTAAAGCATGGGGAGCCAGCCCCTTATTTATGTAACAAAGATCCTTTTGCCCTGAAATCCTTAACTTACCTTGCCAGATTATTCCCCAATGCCAAATTTCTCCTGATGGTTCGAGATGGCCGGGCATCAGTGCACTCAATGATATCTCGAAAAGTTACTATCGCTGGGTTCGACCTGAACAGCTATCGGGACTGTTTGACCAAGTGGAACCGTGCTATAGAGACCATGTACAATCAGTGTACAGAGGTTGGTTATAAAAAATGCATGCTAGTTCACTATGAACAACTCGTCTTACATCCTGAGCGGTGGATGAGAACACTCTTAAAGTTCCTTCATATTCCATGGAACCATTCAGTATTGCACCATGAAGAGCTGATTGGGAAGGCCGGGGGAGTATCGCTGTCCAAGTGAGTAGAAGTTGTGTTTTACTTTGACCCTGTTCTCAGCTAATACACATCTATGTGCTTATCTCTTGGAGTCCTGGTGTGGTCCTGGTATGGTGCTGTAGGATACAGCACTGGACTGCAAGGTCTGCAGT